CAGGAAAAACCCAATAGGGGTTCTAATCTGTCCTAACTCTATCAATAACTAAGAAAAACATTTTGCCTGGACATACACTTTCATTTATTGTGGGGACTCATTTGGCTCTGGGGCTTAATAAGGCTTAAGCTACGATCACGCCTGTCCCCTTCAAAAGGAACCTGGAAAATGCTGTACATTACGACCTCTATTGATCCAAGTATTCCAGTATGAGCAAAAGTCTCCACAGGGTAATCTGTGTACCAGTGTCTATTGATAAAAAATATAGAACAGAAAAAAAGCTAAGCTGTTTTTCCTTTTATTATATGGAAAATGAAACAAGGAATCTAAGTAGTTGCCATGTTTTTGTTATTTTGGTATAAATGGCTGCCTTTTTAGCCTTTTAAAGGTTTGCATGCTCCTGTACAAAAAAACCATGCTGGTATCATAATGCTGTAGGTCAAGTATCACAATGAAGCACCAGGGCTAAGAGGCGCCAAGTTACAAATGTGTTAAATATATACAGTAGGTAACTGAAGGTTCAGTTAATTTCATGACATTTTTGTTAAGTGATTTACTGTATTTGTTGTTGTAACCTTCAATGTAATGGATTTGGAATTTGCAATTACTAAAGCCTTTTCTTCCTGATATGCCATTACTCCCTTATAGGCTACAATGATCAGGACTGGATTTCCGCATAACCAACATAAGCTGTGACAATGCAATCTGGCTGGGTCATTATTGTATCCCTGCGCAATTGTGCAATTTTGTTGGTGAAATAGCGTACGGTGCATACAGTTTACCCACTCCATACAACTGTAACGGAACTGCTGGCAGAGTAGAGAAGCAGTTTGCTCTCTTCTAGTCATCAGTTCTTAGTGTGCTTATGTAGAGTGGGTCATTGTCTCTTCTAGACTTTTCACCTAGATAAGAACTTCAGGAATTTAGAAAACTTACACTTGCAGTGGGGCTACCTGCGCACTGCAAGGGTCAGTGCTCATTTTGTCTAGGGGGCTCAAATAAAGATATATTACTCACCTGATCCTTGCTCCTGCAGTGTTCATTACTCACCTCTCTTTCACACCACTCCGGCTGTGGAATGACCCTCAGCATCCTCACATCTACTGCAAGTCAGTGGTCCAGCAGATGTGATAATGTCAGCGGTCCTTAGACTGCCAGAGCTCAGGGGAGAATAGGCTGCAGGGCCCGGTTTATCACACTGGTGGGACCAAGGGTCAGGTGGGTATATCTGCTTTATTTGAGCCCTTAGACTAAACATTAACCATTTTTACTGAGACAGAAAGCAAAAGGGAACCCAACATTTCAAAGTTTTGACCAAAGCAAGAGGAGAGGGAATGCTGTCATTGGGAGACCTGTTCTTGTAAAAACTCTATAAGAGGAAAATTATGTTCACTCTTGAAATATTTCCTCTCAATCCCTGTTGCATCTCTAGAACTGGAAATGAGGAGAAATCTCCCCAGTGGCATGCAGGCAGCAAGAAAAAAAAGCAATGATAGGAATTGCAACCCTTCCCTAGTCTATTTAAAAATAAAAACAAAGGGGTCTATTCACTAAGCTGCCGAGGGCAGCCGAGTGAATGACCGATCTGAAGTGAAGTGAGCCGAACACTGTTCGGCTCACTTCAGGCTGGTACAGCTGATTTCAGCCGTACATCGGCTGAAACCAGCCGTACATCAGCTTGCTTCGTGTGGCTTCGGGTCGACCGAAGATGCTCAGCATGTTCGGCCGACCCGAAGTGCAGAAGGAGTTCGACTCCAACATTTGGATTGGCTGAGCCGAACCTCCGACAGGCTTCTCACTGCTGTTCGGGCTATTCTTAAAGATGCCGAACAGCAGTGAGTGAATAGCCGAATGCCGCTGAACGGCATTCGGCTCGGCTGTTCTGCTCGGTCCCTCAGCGGTACCGAGCAGAACAGAAAAAGAGTGGAAAAACTAAATAGAAGACGATTGTGCGGAGCTAGCAGTGACAGCTAGCTCCGCCCAATAGTTTCCTATTGTCCAGCGGCTCTGCTGCTGTAAAAAAGAAAAAGAAAAAAAAGACTCTCCCGGGCGCTCTGGGAGAGTCTTTCTTTATTCTGACGTGTCTTTGTGTTCTGATGTGTCTTTCTTTATTCTGACACGGGCGATGTCAGAATAGAAAAAAAATAATAATAATAATTGTCCCATTGAAAAGCATTGGGACATTACTATTGGCTATTTCAATTTGCAATAGCCAATAGTAAACTAGCATTGTACCCGCCCTCTTCTGATGGACCTGATGGGGAACTGCAGCAGAACTCGGCCATGATCGGGAGTTGTACGGGCTATTGTGAATAGCCCGTACAGCACCCTTCTGTTCTGGCCGAAGGATCGGCTGAAGCTACGGCCAGATCCTTCGGCAGCTTCCTGAATAGACCCCAAAGTGTTAACTTTGCATAAACTTTAATATGATACCAAGGCTCTCCAGTAGACATGTGCGACAGCTAAAAATTGGTTTTGTTTTAATTCGGATTTTTTGTTATTTCGTTTTCTGGGATTTGGGTCTGCAAGTCAATTAGTTTCAGGATTCGGATTATTTCCAAATTTTCGTTAGCGGTAGTGTGTAAGAGTTCTCTTTATGAAAAAAATTTTGTTGCAGCAAAGTGACATTAGACAAAAGAGAAAAATGACTTGAAGCTTCTGAATGCTACTGTGTTATATGACAGCTGAGAAAGTCAAATGGGCGAAACAAGCCTTGTGATGTCACGGCTTGCTCTGCTCATGTGTTTACAGTCTGTCCATTTTTGTGACTGAGCTAGTTTTCAGGTTCTGTTCATAAATGACTGACACACTTTTTACATTTTTGCTGTGTGATTCTTCCACAGCAGTAATATACTTTCTTACTAAATGTACCCACACATATTATATATAGTTTTTTAGAGGACAGATAGGGCTATATAATTATATCACATATCACATATTATATCTTAAGGGACCGTAATATACAGGGGTACGGGTACTCCACACGTACAGTGTACGTGGCCAGTCATATAGGCACAAAGTGTCGAGACGTACACTGTACGTCTCCCGTCACAAAGGGGTTAAAGGACTTCTTAAAATGTGTGGTTTCTTTATTTACTTTTACTTTTAACCCTTTAGTGAATGAGTAGGGGTACTAGTACCCCTTACTCATTCAAAAGGGTGGGTGGCATCGGGGGATGGCGGCATCTTAATGTAAGGGGTATCCAGATGCAAATAAGCCACCCTGCCTGCAGACCCCCACAACCACCGGGTCAGGGTTGTGGAGAAGAGGTCCTTGTCCCCATTGGCATGAGGACACGCTCCCAACGCTGAGGGCACGGTGCCTGGTAAGGCCCAGGGAGGGGGCATTCGATCATCCCCCCTTTCCTGTCCTGCCAGGCCTGTGTTCAGATCAAGGGTCTGGTAGGACTTTTTGGGGGTGGGGTTCCCCCTTAAAATTCATACCAGACCTAAAGGGCCTGGTATGACTTTTGGGGGGAACCCCACGCACTTTTTTATTTTTAACTTGGGGGTCCCTCCTAATATTCATACGAGACCTAATATCAACTTAAAATTATTGCTCATTTTATTATTAATACTGTAATATAATAATAGCTAGGGAGTCCATTTTTGGCCTGGAACTGACAGACAAAATATTAATTAGATGGTGTTCCAATAATAAATGATTTTGCTTTCAAAAAATCACATCATATACAGGCACCCTAATGCTGGCCATTCCCTGGGCAATTGTATGGAGTTTATCAACAGATTTCAACCAGCTTTTTATTCAATAAACAAATAATAAGTTCAAGGTGACCTCCCCAAATATCAAAACCAGAAAACAACGCTACTGTTAATTTGACTTCTCTGATCTTTTTTGTGCTGGCTAAAAGTAGCTGATAATGCTACAAAATTGTCAACGGTATGTACAGTATATGTCGCTTTGAAGGTAATATATATGTAAATTGAAAACGAGTCAGGCATGGGTCTAACCATCTACTTTTGCAGAAGTTTTCTTTATTTTGTGGGTTTGTATAGCGCAGTAGCTCATTGAACTGTTTCTCAGTGAGGTTTGTATTAAGTGGCTGATTTTCTGTAACTCTGACCAAAATTAACTCTTACCAGTGGCATCTGAAATGTATATACGTAATTGTGTAATGTGCCACAGGTTTCTTGGACCTGTTGTTAAAGTATCTAAGTCACAGAATCCTGACGGAATGGATAATATTTTATGTTCCTTTAAATACAGTATATCTGCATGTGGACAGTATTTCATGAAATTCCCTAAACGTATGTGTGTTGGAAAAGTGCACCATTGAGCCCCAAATGCACCAGTTAAAACCAGGACAAAGATGTTTACCAGCATGCCAGTGTGTGAGTGACTAGCAGTGCAGCTTGATCACTAATGTGAGAAGCCCTTGTGTTGTCTGTGTAATGACTACCATTTATAGGATCTGTCATACCGATATGCTTGCTCATTTATGGGTAGTTAGTGTGAAACTATATTATAAACATTCATACACAGTGGTAATTGCAGGCAAAATCCTTAGAGTGCATTGATCAATTGGGAATAAAATACCCCCCCTCTTTTAATTTTTATAGGCTTCAAGAATAAAATGAAATAAAACAACACTGGAAAGTTGCATTTACCAGGAAAAGGAACAGTTGAAGATTTATACTAAGGTATTTCTAATGAATTACAACACAGTAATAATCTTAGAGTTTTGAAGAACATCTCAAGAGTTACCATAACTAGCAGCCAGCTGTCAAATGATATCTTCCACCTAGCTCATGTTTTTATTCGTGCAAATTCTATTTAATAATCTCTCTTAAAGCAACAAACCTATTTTAATCTTCTGTCATACCCAGTTGAGTTTTTTACACAACGCTTTTAAATTTCTTTTCATCCAACATTATTATTGTTTTGCCTGGAAGTTCTCATTTTTTTAAGAAACATAATATACTGTCTGACAAAAAATTGTGATTTAATTGTTATATAGATGCTATATAGATTGACCTACCATTCTGAACTTGCTGTTTGCCTTCACAGTCCCCGCTTTTTTCTTGTTTGCTTTGACTTTGTCCTGAGGAATCATCTTGTCTGTTTACATTTGGTAAGCGAGTCCCATTAATATTTCCCTGACTAGATTCCGGGGCTTTTCCATCATTTGCATTTGTTTCTTTGTTTGTCTCTGGTCTGGGTGGTAAAGATTTTTCATTGTCATTTCTATCTTCTTTGTCATCATCTTTTTTGTCATCTTTTTCTTTAGAAGCAGTTTCTTCCGCTTCTTTCTTCGCTCTTTCTTCTGCATCTGTTTGAAAAAGTAAAAAAAAATTAATTATACATGGTGGTTTGTTAACAGCTGTCTAGGTTATATTTCAGAAGCAGAGGATTCCAGTGTAGTATTATGCTTTTCATTCTACTTCTGATTTACTAAAGGAGCAAAGGTTTTTCAGTGATTAAAATGACTGCTCCCTGAGCTTAGAAAATAAGTTGAAGTCATTCATTTTCCTTGCACATGATTGTGTATTCACAGTGAATATAGCTTCATCGTATTTACAAAGCTCAGGAAACATTGACTTTCACCATGCACTTTTGCAAACGGTTGCTTGGTTAAATGAAAAGCCTCTATTCCTTTAGTAAATGAAACCCACTAAATCATTGTTTTCTAGCAGATACACATCTTTTCAACAAAGAGCTCTCTAGATTGAGGATGATTTGAGGACCTGCAGCTGAGTGCTACACAAATATGCTACATTTTTTAATTTAGTTAGGGTACTTGAATGCATTTTTAAGATTTAACTCCTGGGTTTAGTGTCACTTTAAGCATAGCTGTCATTGTACATTAATGCACTACACATGTCCATGCCATAATTGTTCTAATTATTTTACACCTATACAGTTCCCAGATTCAACAGGAAGGTCTCCAGATTTAAACAAAATGAACTAAAAAAACCTGAATCAAACCTGATCTAATACATGTCCTAGAGCGGTCCGCTGAAACAGTCTTTCCAGCACCTGGCTTTAGCTCAGTGCTGACACTGTGGGCCAGAGTAATCTCCTGGCCAGCACTTCCTGTATTGGCTGCAGGCAGTAGCACAGGAGTTGGCTCAAGTTAGATACCTTTTCACTGTGCACTTTTTTTTTTCAGCATATGATTTTTATTGATGCACAAAAGTACAAATATACAAATACAACGGTGTAAAACCCGGCACACGGGTGTAGAGGAAACATTTGCATACCTGAGAAGGAATAACAATGAATAACATCAAAACAATGACCCTTGGGTCTACGAACTAGAAACTGGAAACTAGGAGCTAGGAACCAACACACTCGTATTGTAAGGGCTACAGTATCCCCAACTTGACATAGTACGAAATGGAAGTGGAGCTCCTGCCCAGGGAGCACATCTTGACACAAGTTGTACCTCGAGACCTAAATAGGAGGCATAGGCATGCACAACATGAGGCAATTGCAATACACAAAACCACCTTGGCAGCCTATATAACATCCAACGCTCCCAATGACCCGGCTAATTTGTTCTCTAGGTACCATTTTGTGTATTGGAATGTAACCATTACATCCTTCAATTGTTCGGGTGTTAACTCAGCCAAAAGGAATGCGGACCATGTGTTAAAAAATGTTGCGGTATGCTCCTGGGTGAACTGTGCCTCTAATTTGTCCAATGGCATCAGTGTGCGAAGGAGTTCCCTCAGCGTCGCCAAGGTAGGTGGGGAGTGAAGTAACCAATTTATCAGTATTGTCTTTTTTGCTGCCAGTAGACATAAATGTTCCCACCGGGAGGGGTATTCTAACGGTGTAGCACCAGAGGGGGACGAGGGTATAGCGTGGAATAGACAGATCTCCGGAATACAGGATCTCCGGTTGCCCTTGTTGTTATGCATGAAGGATAACACTTCCGACCAGAACTGCTGAATCTGGGGGCATGGCCATATCAGGTGGTCTAAATCTGGGTAGGTGGCGTGACATTTAGGGCAAGCTGTTAGCCAATGCGGTGGGGTGCATGCAAACTTTAGATTGAATGCATAGAAGGCTCTGTGTACCAATTTAAATTGAATCTCCCTCCATGTTTCACACACGATGGCCTTCCAAAGCGATAGCCACCGATTGAGGAGTACAAGGTCCGCCTCTTCCACAGGTAATTGAAGAAGTGTCGCCCATCTATGGACATGTCTGGGAAATACTGGGGGAGAATCATAGCTAGCCGAGGATCTAATGTGTGATAGAATGCTCGAGAGGGATACCTTCTGTGTGGGTGAGTCTAAAAGTCTGTAGAACGACGTATGCGTCATCATAGACCATGGCTAAGGAAGGTTATTTTGGGTGAAGTGTCGGACTTGGGCGTACTGTAGGAAGTGGCTGTCTAGTATCCCAAAAGTTGTTTGTAGTTCCCTGAACTGTTTGCATATGCCCTGGGGTGATATTATGTCCTGTAAAGTGCAGATCCCCCTTGATTTCCAAAATGAGAAAACCCTCGATTCTCGGCCAGGACTAAATGCCGGGGAGGACACCAGCGGCATCAGAGGAGAGACCACCCCTGGGATCCCATACAGTTTCCTGACCTCCCTCCATGTAATTATGGTGTCCCGCAGAAGGATGTTCGTTTTGATGAGTGCGGGAAGAGCTTTCCACGGAGTGTGGAGAACCCCTGAGAGATACCAAGGATGCACCATAGCTTGATCTAAGCGTGGGTCTGTGAAGTGTGAAGTCCCATGCACCCAATCCCTGGCATGTCTAAAAACGCTTGCTAGATTATAAAGTCTAATGTCGGGGATATTTGCTCCTAGTAAGGATTTGGGTTGTTGGAGCTTGTACATGGCTATGCGCGGGCGCTTTCCTCTACATATGAAAGTAGCAAATGCTTTATACAGCTTGTGAAAATCTTTGTGTTTAATGAGTATAGGGAGCGTCTGCATAGGATACAGCAGCCTTGCAAAGCTGATCATGCGGATCAAATGGCATCTGCCCAGTATAGAGAGAGGAAGGTCACGCCATTTATGCAATTCTTGAATGATCTTCTTAAACAAGGGGATATAATTTAAGTGATATATATGGCTCTGGTGGATATACGGATACCTAAATACGTTATAGCTCGTCTCTGGATGTGAATGGAGAGTTCAGGAGGCAGGGTAATTTCCCCAGCAGACTTCCCTGCGGCTGGAGCACCAATGGCCGTGCCCACCCAGGATTGTCGCATGCGTAAAATATCCGGCTCTTTAAGGTGAGTTTCCTGAAGAAGGGCGATGTCAACTTTCAACCTTCCCCAGATGACGTAAGATCTGGCGTCGTTTATTGGGAGATCTCAACCCCTTAACGTTCCAGGAAACAATGTTCAGGGTGGGTCCCATAACAACCACAGTGCGGTGTAAACGATAACTAGCGACAGATGTTGGCAACAAGGGGGGGCTCTCGCGGGCGTCCCAGCTCTCCCGAAGAGGCCCTGTGGCGCAAGTGGATGTGCCCTTTGATGTGCATAAGAATTAAGGGGTGATCCATTGGGCAGGAGATGAAGATGTAGGAGATCGACTCCATGAGTGTGTTAGCGACAAAGTACTAACAACAAAAACACAAAAAAAGAAACGTCCATTGTAAATGACTACCTTTTTTCCTGATGCGAGCGGAAAGAGGCTGACCACACATGAGAGCGAGGCTGTTCTTCACGGGGTTGCGTAAGCACAGTAGTATTCAGTGAGTTGGTATATCGCGCCATCCCGCCATCCAGAAAGGGCGAAAACTATCAGTCCTGGTGAGACTTGAGGAACAACGAAAGAGTAGAGAAAAATCAAAACAAAAACAAAGGAGTGAAGTATCAGTAAAGTACCTGCAGAAGAGCAGCATCCAGGCCCGGAACCTCCGCGCCGCAACATCACCAATCCCCTCCCTAAGTATAGCCAAACCTGACCCCCTCTCGGGCTCTCAGGCCTTCTTTTTCCGGGGAGGGCTTTTCAACGGGGATGAGGAAGAGATATTCCCCCAAGAATCGAGGAACTTTTGGGCTTGTGTTGCAGAAGTGAAGCGCCATGCTTTCCCATCCTCCGTGGAGAAGCGGAGCACCGCTGGATATTGCAAAGCGAATTTTATGTGGTATCTAACCAGCGATTGGCATACCTCATGGAATGATCTCCTCAATTTAGATGTTTCCATAGAGTAATCCGCGAATAGCAACAGCTTTAGGCCATCCACCACGAGGTTGCGCTGAGTGCGGTAGGTGTGGAAAATATTCTGTTTATCGTAGTAATCAAGGTAGCGTACTAGCACGGGTCTCGGTTTGGCGTCATCTCTAGGGGATCCCAACCTGTGTGCCCTCTCAACCTTGCACGCAGCGGACAGGCCCAAGGCTTTGGGTATAGCGGCGGCGCAAAACGCCCTCAGATTAACAGGTTTCACAGATTCCGGGATGCCAATGACCCGCAGATTATTGCGTCTGGAGCCATTTTCCAAATCGTCCACTTTATCTTGCAAGGTGTGTATGCGTTTGGTCATGTCACCATATGCACGATGTGACTCAGCAGCGTCATCCTCCACATTGCTAATGCGTTGTTCCATGCTAGTGATGCGTGTATTTTGCGCTTCCATGGTCGCATTTAGCTTGCCCAAGTGTAACTGTAAATTGTCCGCAATAATTTTATCCATATCAGCCTTAAGATGTTTGGTCACTTCTGCAGCGATCAGCTTATAATCGATGTGGGGGGTATCATGTATCAGGGAGTCTGATTCACTCTCTCCCATACCTGTGTCCTCCTCATGCTGCAGCTCATCAGCGGCCATTTTGGATCCTTCCCCTCCGTCTGTCTGACTCCCTGGGAGGGCTCTGCGGGCTCTCGGTTGGCGCTCCAGATATCTGTCCATGACAGGGGAGCAGGTGGCAAGCTGCTGATGTGTCGGTTGGAAGACTCGTCTCCGGAAAAGGAGTTGGAACAGAGTTGTTGTCCGGTGACACTTCGATGCTCTCCTCAGTGCCTGTTTAAGGGACGGTTCATTCCCTCCTTGACACTGAAGAGAGCATCGAAGTGTCACCGGACAACAACTCTGTTCCAACTCCTTTTCCGGGGACGAGTCTTCCAACCGACACACTCCTTAAAGAAATGGGATATACACCCACACAATTGGATCACTGAATCAGACTGAAAAACCTCTGAATCACCTGGACCTTGAGAAACTCCAATAACGTGACTGATTGAACTATTTTTCATATGTCCGTTGAGGACACTGTTTGAACTTCACTCTGCAAGATAATATTTACACCATCTTGGAGATAAAGGAGAGTGATCCGGTGTTTTAGTGAGTTGG